TCTATATGGATTGTAAATACAACTTTCTCTTCCAACTGTTTTTGCAGTCTTAGTAAACAGAATCATAAAATGGCCTGGGTTGGAAGAGACCTTAATGATCATCTAGTTAAAATTAGTTTTGTGCAATTGCACAGCCAGTTATAATTCTGCTAGTGTAATGACCAGGGTCATGGTCAGTCAATGCAGTGTTCTACCTGGACATGCTGTACACACGGGGGGAAGCAGCTCTTGGCCTCTCTCTAGTTAATGTAATCATATTAACTAGTAACTCTGTCTGGTTGCCTTTCAAGGTCAGAAAGAATAACTCAGACAGGGTCTAACCTTATGTGTGATATGAGACACAGAACATCCTAAAAAGAGGCAAAACCTGGACTGCTAGTCCCCTCAAAGAGACAAAAACAGGTGTTCTTCATAATGTCCTGAGAGAAAAAGCATATGATATGCCCTTTTAGTTTCTCCAAATTCTCCAAATTCTCTATAAACCCCTCACTTTCTTTGTGGTAACTCTCAACCCATTTATAATATGTAATGATTTGACAAGCAAGTGCAGTTTAGTGTCTGGTTTGTTTGTGAAACTTTTATTCCTTGAATTGATGAAGCTGGTTTTCTGTGTTGGGTCACTGAAGTAATAAAATATTTTTCTGCTTCCAGATATGGGCTTGAAACTTGTACAGTAGAAATAAAATGAATGACAGTACAGTAGAAATAATAAATTATTCTCCCAATTCATATGTTTTTATCATATTATTAATAATTCACAATTACCAAGAAGATTTTGATTATGATCGATCTGGGTAGGCATTCGTGATGATGAATACAGGCATATAAAGCCAGCATTGATTGGTGCAGTTTTTCAAAAGTGTAATTTTAACTTTTTTTTCATAAAGGGACAAGGTAAGGTAGATTTAATTTATTTAGGTGAGTAAAATTGTCACTAAATCCTTTTCAGATTTTGTAGCTATGCTTCTGTACATGAAAGATGATTTTATTCTTACGTGATACTATCTTGTCATCATGGTAAAGAGATATTTAGATGTATTCAAGTATTTATTCTATGTATGTTGTTGCCGTGATGCATCAATAATCCAGTTTATCTTAGTTCTGTCTCGTGTTAAAAAAGAGTAATAGCAAAACTATGGGTTTTTTTTTATTCTTTGAGATTGGTCTGCCAGCTTTCTGTAAGCAACTATGATTTTTCAAGGGTTTCAATCATCTCCCAAGCTACTTGAAAACATAAGACCATTCTATTTTTTTCTACATTATATGTATGCAGCATACAAAAAAGGTCATAATATGTAGCAGAAACTGGAATTCTAAGAAATCTCAAATCTTCTTTGTGTTTTAGTTTCGTTTTGGCAGCTTGACTAACATGAGTAAAAAGTCTGTTAATAAAAATGACTGTTTTGTCTTCTAAAGTTTTGAATTTTTATTTTTTTTTAAATCACTAGATTTCCTCGTTTCTTAAAAAAACTGTTGATAACTATTTATTCTTATATTTTCTCTATAATGCATTATCTTTCCCATCTTATAACTCAATTTAGTTCAGTTTATGTTAGGAGTTTGTTTTAGCTTTGCTTCCTTTAAATGAGAATATAATACAGTGAGAGAGATGTCTACTGCTACCACAGCCCCTCTTTCCTTTCCTTGAAATGTAATTCAAGATGTTTGTTTTACTAACTTGAATCTTGAGAAGGTGCATGCTTTGAAAGAGTAAGAATTTTGTTCTAGAAGATTTTACGAAATGAAAAAGCTAGGGAATTTTTTCTGCTTCGGGCTATTTAACACATGATCTCCTCACATCCACCTTCCATCTTTTGCATTGACACACTGAAAATTACATAGGAAAATATTAATAGAATTTAACTAGTACTTTGAAGTGTTCTATATGAAATATTTTTAAAAGCAACATTTATTGTGATTATAAATCATTGGGTTTAGCTACTGATGTACTTTAGAAAGGAAAAAGACCCTCATATCAAAGCAGAGTTTGTAAAGTGAATACCACACTCCAGGCCAATGTGTATTTTCACTGACAGTTTCAGGCCTTGTTATGTAAAACATGTTTTTAGACTCTGGAAATCAGCATTTTGGATTTGCTAGAAGATAAAACCAAAACCTATATTTTCCTGGGTATAATAAGAAATACTGGCTAACCAAAGGCCCTAATATCTGTTTTATTATTAGGAAAATTTCTACATTTCAATACATTTCAGTTCCAAATCATTAACTTCTAATACTTGAGCTAAAAAGTCACCTTTCTCTACCATTGAAACAGAGGAAAGACTTTAGACTGTTCTGGATCTTCTTACTCAGTTGGATCAGCCATGGGACTCATGCAAATGCTGTTGGGCAGAGTGATATGTACAAATATGAGATAAATTCACCCACTACTGTGTTCCTTCTTGGATAGCATATATTTAAGCATGAAAGTAAGATGTCTGTGTAAAACCTTTGGTGCCTAGAAAGATCAGGAAGGATAGGAGAGGTTATTTGTGGTGTTTGTACAAGTATGAGCAGAGAGGGACTACTCTCTGGTCTACCAGCTAGCCCAGCACAGCTCATATGCAAACACCTACATTTTTTCCTTTTTCTCCAAAAAAAAAGGCAAATCTGCTTACTGGTGTGGTCCTTGGCATACACTCTTCCCCAGACAATGGCTGGGCACTGTCTGGAAAGGTAGGAATTAGCACAGGCCACAGCTGTGCAGGCAGTGGACTGACACCTAGGCACCATGGGTGAGCCTTCTCTGGTGCTCCATGTAGCCTTGCTGGCCACAACAGAGCAATATGGGAATATTAAAAATATCCATATAGACTACAGAAAAGTTTGAAATCAGCTGTGAGAAAAAAAAAAAACAAAGCAAGAGGCATTTATCTAAGTAACAGATATCAAGAACAGGTACACTCATGTACATGCATTCTTTAAAAATATGGACAAGAATTCAAACGTAATTTTGAACCACAGTTGAGAACTTGTGAATCAGAGCAGGAAGATGATATGTATAAACTGAGCTTAGATACATAAAAATCTTCACAGAAGCCCACAACTGCATTATTTACTTCTGCTCATGAATAAAAATTTATTTCTTATCTTGCTTAAGTAGACACATGGGTTTGCTCATTTTCTTGTTACTGTGTATGGTAACTGTGTATGGTGCACTGTTCAATACACTCCCTAAAAACTGATATACATTTTCAAATATGATTCATAACCCAACATACTACTATTAGATCTATTTCATGAAGAGAACAAGAGGGTTCTCTACACTGTTAGTGATCAAGAAAGAACATCTGTGAATATTTATCTATCAGACCCAGTGTTCCTGTTTCCAACCAACAGGCTATGCTCACTGACTAATTAAAAATAGAAAAACAATTGCTTTATTTCATTTATTATTGCAAGTGTCAATATAGCAACTAAAGCATCAAAAATGTGGTGGGTGATATAGTCAACAACAGGAAAAACACTTTCTCTCTAGAAGTTTATATGAGAACAAAAAGTACACACATCGCCTAGTCTTCCTTGTAATTAATCTGTGGATAAGAAAACTTTGTAAGTAATTAAAATTGAATTTGTAATCAAAAAAATCATGTTCTACAGAAGGCAGTAGGCAAAAGCTGCTATAAAGAGATAATCACAAACCATAGATTACTGATAAAGGCTTCACTTTATCACCTCACAGCCTTACCCATACCTATCACTGTTGCAAACAAGCTAAAATAAAAGTTTTGTGATTCTGGGACTACTACATTGGAATTAATTATATAATTTAAGCTGCTATTATTGACACTCATCAAATTATAACCAGGGAGATGAAACATACTGAATTCAAATCAAACTCTCATCTAGATTACTCATTTCAGGTGTCAGGGTTTTTTAATTTTCACTGCTTCAAAATTTAATCTACATTTCCTTCTTTATTGGAAACAGGTCTAGAGAGAAGAGAAATGATCACCTGACTATATTGCTTTTCAGCCTGTGTTAAAGGAAAGGTAGTTACTAAGATTTTCAGATATTCTGAGTGAATACAAAAAGGAAATTTTTGTTATGTAACAACCTAGATAGCAAGTATCTAGACAGTAAATAATGTACTTCAAAACAGATAAGTGGAAAATAAACTGGGAACAAGCAAACCTCTCTGTACTCTGTCACATAGGGTTTTTATCACCTTTGTAGCCTGGTGTCCAATCTGTTTTCTCAGGAAACTTTTCTGTGCCCAAAAGGTTAGTGCAATTCTAATGACAAACATCCTTGCTCAGAAGACAAAAGGCATTAAAAATTAAAGTCAGCATGTTTATTTTACTTTTCTGTTTAAATTATGATAATAATTGCAATAATCAAAGATCCTGCAGCCATGGCTACACAGCATCAGATGAGAACATCTTTAAAGTGTTCCTTTTAGCTTCCAAATGTAGACATTGATTCTCACTCTGGCAGATTTATCCCCTAGTCTACAGTTCTTAGTGTTCAAGAACCCTGATGTTCAGGAAACTAGTGCTGTAGACTGGATAAGGTTTTATTTGAAGGGAAGCAGCACCATCTATTGCAACCTGGTAGCTTAACTCTAGATGATAGAAAGAATAGAGATGGCCTGAGCCCTGTTTTCAACTCTTTCTTGCACGCACTTTCATAAATTTGACTGGCTTCAAATGAGGTTATTATCTCAGTTTGTATATGATAAGGTGCTGGGACAGGACTGTGTTCCAAGTATGCATATGTTCAATGAAAAGTCACATCTAAGAGATACCTGTTTATGAACTAAGATAATGTAATAGCATAAGCCTAGTCCTGACTAAATGACTTTTAAATGACTCGGCTGGAGTTTTCATTTCTGAAATGGGAGGACAGTCAAAAGTTGAGATTATTTTAGCCAGGTGATATTCTCTCAAAATTTTCTTTCAGAAGCAGCATTAATGTAGGTGTGCAGTACTGTATGTTCTTCTGATAATGACAATGCTATTGTCATCCATCTATATTTCTCGTTTTTCTCTTTTTTCCAGGTTGTCTACAAAGCCTGGCTGTGTTCCCAGTATTTTGAAGTCACACAGTTTCACTGCAGCAACAGAATTCCTTGCAAGCAATACTGTTTGGAGGTTCAAACGAGGTGTCCCTTTATATTACCAGACAACGATGATGTCATCTACGGAGGACTATCAAGTTTCATCTGTACAGGTACAGTATAAAAAAACTATCTTCACTTTTTTTCATAAGTCTAAATTTGATGGACTTAGCTATAACTACGAGAACCCAAAGGTATTCCTCATCAGAAAGATTTGTTAGAGGTGCTAGGATTTGAGCTCAGTTTTGGAAATGCACATTTACGCTACAGCTTGCCCATCACCAGGTTTACAAAACAAAATTGCTAGAAAAGATTTGCTCTGGTTACTTTTTACGCTTAATAATTTGGTGGAGGATTTCTGTTACTCCATGTCATGCAGTACTCAGAGTAAAGAGGCTGCATGTCATGCAATATTCAGAAGACAAAGAGAAAGGCAGGTGCAGTTTCTAATATATTCACCTTCGTACACCTACAATCTTATGTCAGATAAATGGAGAATCTGAAGGATAGCGTTCAAAACTACAGCAGCTCTCAGAACATGCACGTCTAAGGAAAGGTCTTTCACTAGTGATGAAATTTAAAAATCAATTTTTCAACTGTGAAGAACTGACCTTTTTTGTCTCCTCTGTATTTCAATTTTAAAAGGTATTGCTAATATATATCTCAGATATCACAAAAACTTTTTTCAGGACTGGCTGGGAGTCATCTAGACAAAATTGCAGCTTATATCAATGTTATCTTCAGGGTGCCTGAAATGTCATCTGAGAACCTTGAAGATATTCAGGCAACTTATTCCTACTAAATCAGTAAAAAGGCATTTCAACACTTAGATCATCTGACATCCCTGGTCCAAACATTGGAAGTTAGACAGCCTTCACCTCTAAATTAGGGCTGCACTGGAAATCTTGATACTAAATGAGTTGCCCAAGATAAGCTACTTAAAAACAGAGGCAGTTATAAAACCCCACAGATGCTATATACTATCTCAAATGCAAGTATAATGATTGTGGCAACTCACTTCATCTTATACTCTGTGTTTGGATTTAGGGTGATTGTGGTAGCAAGGTATTTACGGTATTTACTGTATTTCTTTTTGAATCTTAAGCCTTTTGCACACAATTGAATAATATCCATCCATATGCAAAAGACAATATAATGAAATGTGACCTCAGTTACAATTTCGAGTCATCAATAAGGCAATGGTGCTTAGCACTTTAATGCATTTCATAAATATTAATAGCCTTCCAATATGCATAGGTAGTAAACAAATTAGTATTATTTTCCAGTTTAAGATAGTATAGTAAAAGCTGAAGCGAGAGACTTATTTATATGTTATTTACCACAAGTATACAATATATAGGTGTGTGTGTTTTCATGTGTATACATGTGTACCCACTTACACATATACACAATAGCAAAAAATCAAAGAATCAACAAAACCATCTTGGCACATATTTCAGAAAATCTCTTAGGAAATACATATCCATTTTCCTACTATAACTCAAAATCCAAATTCCTTCCTAAAACACAAAAAATATATGATTTTGAAAAGATTACTGACATCTCTGAGTCTGAAATGAAAAAGCAATTTTAGGAGGGGATTAAACTCTCTTTATTGCAGGTATTAGTAATGTGGGCATCTACACATAAACTCTGTGGCTAAGCTCTCCTAGAGTCACTAAAGATCTGATGAAGTCAGTAGGGCTGAGAGGTATTTAAATCAGCCTAAGTAGGCACCTGCACCTGATGAGAGGACTCGTTCACAGTGCTGGCCGCTCTCTATTTGCTGTATTTGCTGTTAGTCACCAGGGTCTTTTTGCAGACATTTAAAACCAGGATGACCTGAAGCTCAGCAGTCCACTAACTAATATTTGGTTGAGCTTTTTGTCCTCTCAAGCTCAGACCCAGCAGCAGCAGAGCAGAGCTTGTATTCACAGACCCGTGGGAGTTAGTATGCTGACCCTAGGCAGTTGTGTACAAGAGAAGATAATGAGGACAGGTACAAGGCTGCAGTTCAAACTTTGTCTGGAACACGGGCCCATTTTAACCCTCTTACTAAGCAGTAGCTCCCTGTAAGAGTACTTCTTGCCACTAAACAATGATAAATGAAACTATTATCTGCTGAGGGACTAAGGAATTACACTTCTCTGCAGCTTAGTGAAAACAGATTTATTTCATGCAAAGTACAGTGAGTTCAACAGCAGATAAAATAGTCTACCTCAGCATAGCTTGTGGCTTGACAGATAACTTGAAATCCTTCTGCCGAAAAGCAGCTGGAAGCAGGTCACCTGTGTCTTGAGGGACCTATCCTCCTGCTGCACTTTCTCTGAGCTCCTGTCTGGCAGACATATTCTGGGATTTTTAGTTACTGATGTGGCTCTTCATTAGCAAAACCCAAAAGAGTAAGGTCAAAAAGTATTTCTATCTAATATTTAGGTGTCAAGTAACAGGAAAAGGTATTTGAGGGATATCTGGTTTTATTTGATATTGACTACAGCACAGAGGGTGGGACATACATATAAATATTACATGCTATTTTCCAGTTGCAGTTAGATAGAGGCTGGCATCAGCAGCAATGCTGGGAGGTGCCCTGGCTGCACCGAGCTGCCACCTCCCCTTGCCATGCCTGTCCTGCTGCAGCAGTGAGCCAGAGCACAGAGACCCACTGGAGGTGAGCATATGGCAGCACTGGTGGATGAGGAATCCATGTTTGTTTTTTTTCTTTCAGGGCAGGATTTTTTGAAGTTGGAGTCTGAAAAAAAAGTATTGGAGGCTGTAAAAAGAAATAATAACAAACATTTTATCTCTCCTTGGAAGATCCACATGATGACAAAACATCATAGGACTGTCTATTTTACCACAAAAAATTTTGCAGTCATTGTTACCTTTGTCACCATTAAATTAAAAAGAAAAAAATTATTTTATAATATGGATTAATATTGAATACTTGAAAATTCCTGAAGAACTCATATAATAAGTGGCAAGTATTCTAGCCTGAGAATGTCTTAGTTCATCATCTTCAATGAAAGCAGATAGTGGGAAAGGAAGAAAGTGTGCTGCACTAGTTACATATCACCAGAACTTGTCTTTTATAGAAATGCATGTGAGGGTGTGGAATAACTGCAGTGCAAAAGAAAGTACTTGGGAGATGAAAAAATGAAAACAAACAGAATCACAGTGTGGTTCTGATTATGGAAATATGCAATTCACTAGAAAGAATTTTGTGTTCCACTCTTGCACCCTTGCTTCCAGGAAAAAGAAGGAAAGAAATTGATCCTTCCATCAAGCACTATTCTGGAACCTACTGGTTTTCATATTCATTAGAATTGAGTGTTTGCTTTCAGTTTAGACCTTTGGCATTCGTATCCATATGATTAAAGTTTACAGTGGTTTAGATGAAACTGAAAGATGTTTCTGGCTACATCTCAGCTGTCTAGAATTGCCCATGCAAACCAGAATGTTATTTAAGGGAAATAACAATAGTGTTTAGGCGCACATACACACACATACATACACACAGAGAAACACACAAACACATATGGCAGATTAAAATGAATAGCCCCATGCAAAGTTCCAGGGTTTTTGATTGTAACTTCTAAGAAAACAGTGTGCATACCAGTGGGATTGTTTTCGGTTGTAGATGTAGTCATCTCTTCCTTTATTTTTTTTCCCAGACTGAATGGAAGATGTGGCAGATTTCTTTAACACACGGTCTTTCAGTGCGAAAAGAGAGTTGAAAGACTGTGGTGGGCTGACTCTGGCTGGATGCCAGGTGCCCACTGTTAAGGAAACTTCTCAGTCTGACCATTCACGAGACTCTCTGGCAGTCAAACTCCCAAGGCCAGAGACTTTAACTGCTGTGTCCGAAGCCCATTCTCAGCGGGCGGCTCCAGTGAGCTGATGGGTGTTTTGCTTGACTCCCCACACACCCCACTCACACACAGTCAGATCAGGTTTCCTTACTGGTTTGACCCCAGGTTTCCCATTGTAGAGTCTGAGATGTCTAGCTCCATAAAGTGCAGTTACACAGAAACAGCCCAAGCTGTTGCCTCTGAGGAGGACCCCCAGCAAAGGAACTCCTGGGCTTTTATACCCTCACAGTCTACCCATGCACAAGTCTGGCTCTTCCTCATGAGTCTTCCACTCCTGCTTTGTCTCTCACTGTCCACCCTGGCTGGCACCACCAGTCTGTGCCTTTTGTTGACTAAAGGGTTGGCAGTTCACAGCCTCTTGTCTCTCTGGATTCCCACCCAGATCTCAGTCTGCATCCCGAACTGCACCTTGCAAACCGAACTACCTGCACCAGATGTATTCTTCAATACCCACCAAAGCCACTCTTTCACTCCCCTCTACAACTGGACAGGGGAGAGGAAGAAAGAAAGGCTTATAGGTTGAGATAAGGATGGGGAGAGATCACTCACCAGTGACCATCATGGGCAAAACAGACTTGACTTAGTGAAATTACTTGACTTTATTACTAATCAAAATCAGAATAGGATAAAGAGAAGTAAAGCATATCTTAAAAATACCTTCCCCCCACTCCTCCCTCCTTCCCAGGTTTAATTTTATGGCTGATTTTCTACCTCCTCCACCACAGGATCGTAGGTCTTACCAGTAATCCTGCCCTAGTTTGGAGTCCTTTCTCCATGTGTCTGCAGGTCCCTGCCAGGAGCCTACTCCAGCACGGGCTTTCCTGTGAGGTCACAGCTTCTTTCAGGCATCCACCTGCTCCGGTGTGGGACTGCTCCACAGGCTGCAGGTGGGTCTCTGTTCCCCTGTGGACCTCCATGGGCTGCAGAGGCACAGCTGCCTCACCATGGTCTTCACCACAGACTGCAGGGGAATCTCTGCTCTGGTGCCTGGAGCACCTCCCTCTCCTTCTTCTTCACTGACCTTGGCGTCTGCAGAGCCATTGCTCTCACATATTCTCTCTCCTCTTTCCTTTGGGCACAATTACTTCTGCACAATAACTTCTTTTTTCTTCTTAACTGTGTTATCCCAGAAGTGTTACTACCATCACTGATTGACTTGGCCTCGGCCAGTGGTGGGTCCATCTTAGAGCCGGCTGCAATTGGCTCTGTTGGACATAAAATCATCATAGAATCATAGAGTG